TTCTCACTATTCTCCCATTCTAACTCTGAAACCCTGTTTGCAATGCGGCTGCTGTCCACTCTTTATCGCGTGTGTAGTCGATATTTAAACTCAAATAAAATTATGATTATATTAATTTTAATCTTCAATTCAGGAAGCATCAGTCAGCTGGTAGGAACAGCACAACATGATTACCTAGAGTTCCAACATTCAGTACAGACATTTGTTTATAAAATCTAAGATATCTATTGTGTATAAATATGTAAGGATTACTTGAGTGCTGAAAGAGATGCGTCGTAAATTAAATTGATATTGCAACAGATGAATTTTAATATATTAAGGCAATAAATGTCTTTCAAACTCCTTTTATATGCAGTATCTCTTCAGGACGTATGCGATCACGACTCTCCATAATTTCCTGCCCTTTGTAACTTAATAACGTTTATTTTTTTTCCATCACTCCCAAACCCTACTCCGCGACCAATTCACTCAAGCTAACCAGATAGGTTATGCGTTGTTTTCCTCCGTCTCTATTACCTTCAGTATGTCCTGTGAGTATTTCCTGTGACCTAGGGAAGATTACTGGATAGAATAATTACACGAAGGTTGGTAATGAACGATAATACTTAGGACAAGAACAACACATATAAGATTCGACGGGGGCGCGTAGAAGAAGTAGCCAATTGCTAAAAGTGAGTCAAGTGAATTGCACAATGAATCTCCAACTGCAGGATAGCTACCAACAGCCCCACGAGGTCAGATGCGGCACAAGGCCGAGTTTAATGTGGGGTATCTGAGCCCGTAGGCTCGGCCAAAAATTCCTCGTAGACCCCGTATAAAACGGGGTCGGGTAGCTGTTTCCCGAGATGAGACTCTGCCCTTCGACTGGGTATCCTCTCTGCCCGGAGGCAGAGAGTTTGACCAGCACAGCTGGAGACGAATCTCCAACTGCGGACCAACATACAGTATTTACTACTGTTTTTATGTGAATGGAGACATACCCATTATCGTCCATAGGTATGCTACAACAGTATTAAATTTTACATGCCCACTTTCCGAATTATGTGCCTTATAAATTTCAACTTTCTCTTCCTGATGTTAAATATAAGTGTCTTTTTCTTTCCATTCTTTCTAGAACTTCGTCTTTGCTCACATGTTCTGTCCATGGTATTCTAAGCATCCTTCTGTAGGACCACATTTTTGTTGCTATTCTTCATCTGTAAGGAAATTGTTCATCATTCACTGCCATATAGGAGAACTGATGTTACATAACAGTACACTTTTCTTTGTTTTTAACAATATTTCTTAATACTTTTCTTAGCTTTTGGAAGGCATCTTCTTTATTTCCGTCTCGCACTTCCTGTCCTCTATACGCTTTCCAGGGGGATGAGACTTTCCGGCGTAGACCATTTAGCATCGCGATTCGGCGTGGCCAATTCGACACCGGAATTTTTCGACAGAGGGACGATTAGGCGTCAGATTACTACTTCGTCGTTAGAGTCAAATTTGCTCTCTCTCTATCTATCTCTCTCTCTCTCTCTCTCTCTCTCTCTCTCTCTCTCTCTCTTGTTTAGTAGTCAAATTAGTACTTCGGCGTTGTATGCTCGAATAGTCCAATTTAAGAAAAAGAGTAGTTGGAGGCATTTTTATATTTAAGAAAAGAAATAGTTGGCGGCATTTTTAAATTTAAGAAAAAGATTCGTTGGAGGTATTTTTATATTTAAGAAAAGAAATAGTTGGCGGTATTTTTATATTTAAGAAAAAGATTCGTTGGAGGTATTTTTATATTTAAGAAAAGAAATAGTTGGCGGTATTTTTATATTTAAGAAAAAGATTCGTTGGAGGTATTTTTATATTTAAGAAAAGAAATAGTTGGCGGTATTTTTATATTTAAGAAAAAGATTCGTTGGAGGTATTTTTATATTTAAGAAAAAGATTCGTTGGAGGTATTTTTATATTTAAGAAAAAGATTCGTTGGGGGTATTTTTAAATTTAAGAAAAAGATTCGTTGGAGGTATTTTTATATTTAAGAAAAAGATTCGTTGGAGGTATTTTTAAATTTAAGAAAAAGATTCGTTGGAGGTATTTTTATATTATATTTCCTTCAGTGCAGCTTCATATTTTACAGCCGTCAAAGCCATTTTATTCCAAATGGAAGCAAGTATTTTATCAAAACGTGGAAGAAACAAAATGATACACGATGGATACCTTCTTTTTGACGCAACGGGCAAGAGAGATACTGAATTAAAATGTTGGCGGCATAACTGAAAGATGGATGTTTTTTGTTTTTTTGTTTTTTTTTCTGGCGAGGATGACTCTGGTCAAAGACAGCACGTCGAAACAGTCTGACGCCTAAACGGCTATGCCGAATAGTTCAATTATTTTTCTGTTGCCGAATCAATCACGCCGAATCAGCCATGCCCAATGGACTACGCCGAATCAGCCATGCCAAATGGACTACGTCGGATCAGCCACATCAAATGGACTACGCGGAATGAGCCGCGCCAAATAGACTACGCAGAATCAGACATACCAAATGGACTACGCCGAATCAGCCACGCCAAATGAACTACACCGAATCAGCCATGCCAAATGGACTACGCCAAATTAGCCACGCCAAATCGACTACGCCGAAACGTACCAAACTCGCTTTCCAGATATCCAGATTGTTTCACCTGTTTGATTTCGATATCTGTAAATTTGTAATTTGCGCGTTGAGTCTATTCCTTCTACGAACAACCATGCGCTTTATCTTCTTAAAATTGATGTTCCAAGCCCTTGGTGTTCAAAAATATTTGTATACTTGTAAAATCTTGAATAATTATACTGGATAAATATATATCCATTCATCGATATTCAGTATTCAATAGAAGCACAAACATAAATTAGTTGTCGGTTGGTTGATTTTGTTTAGCGGCATATCAACATCTCTATGGGTTATTTAAGACCGAAATCTAAATATTTTGAACACAATTGTATGCCTTCAGATATAAATAAAATGTATTGTTGGTGATTCTATTATAACAGGTATGGCTGGTCATTTTGTTTTAAGAATGTATTGTCGGTAATTTTACTATAAATAGATACTGTTATTAACGTTATATAAAAATGCATTGCTGGTATTCTTACAATAAAAATGTATTTTTATACTTTGAGTGTGTTTCGTTTTTGTTTGGGGGTTCACTATTTGCCTGTAGCTGGGGCCCTAACAGGTGCTACCACCCCGAGATAAAACGGTAATTTATAGACACTGGGTAGAAGGATATAATATATGAATTGTAGAGAAATGGTGAAAAAGAAGAATGATGGAAAAGAAAAGGAAAATGAAAAAAAAAACACAAGAATTAAGACAAATTATATTGTAATATTCTCAGCAATCTAGCTTGATTTAAAGAAGGTGAGGGATGGCGTAATCGATGGTCATGTTTCCCATTTTCGAATATATGACATGCTTGAATGAAGTCACTAATGACGCTATCTAGTAAGTACATGTGAATCATATGACTAAATAGGTAAATGTCATTCTGTTGTGTTTTTGACAATGGAACGCATATATAAAGCTCTTAGAAACATTAAAAAGTAGAAATGTTATGGATACATTCACGCATATGGGGTGCATTCGTACGAACTACAGCTGTTCTTGTCTTTTGAAGGTTCAGGAATTTAAAACGTACCGGGTAGAGTGCAGTTTAAGGTGCGTTGGGTTGGAGATAATGCAACAATTCTCGTCCCTTGTTCGATTCATTTTGTCAGTCGATCCAGGATTCCGAATAAAGCTAAGCGCTAACAACTACAGAGAAGCGAACTGTATTTTGATGACTAGAAAATGAGTTATGTTACAATAGGAGTTATTGAGGAAGAAATAAAGAAACCCTGAAATGAAGAGAAGATGGAAGAAAAGCAAAAAAATAATTAATATAAGAAAGGTAGGAAGGAAGGAACGAAAGAAAGAAAGAAAGAAAGAAAAGGAGGGAGGAAGAAAGAAATGAAAAGGAAGGAAAGAGCAAAGAAAGAAAGAAAGAAAAAGAAAGAAAGAAAGAAAGAAAGAAAGAAAGAAAGAAAAGGAGGAAAGAAGGGAGGAAGAAAGAAATGAAAAAAGGAAGGATGGAAAGAAAGAAAGAAAGAAAGAAAGAAAGAAAGAAAGAAAGAAAAGGAGGGAGGAAAAAAGAAATGAAAAAGGAAGGAAAGAGCAAAGAAAGAAAGAAAGAAAGAAAAGGAGAGAAGGAGGGAGGAAGAAAGAAAGAAATTAAAACAGGAAGGAAAAAAAGAAAGAAAGGAAAGCTATGAAAAGCATTAGTAAAATGAAGAAATGAAGGGTGAATGAAGAGAACCCCGAAAGTCCTACTTTTTAAGGAAACAACTCAAAGAGGAAAATGGCCTGGAAAATTTTTACCAAACGCCACACCAAAAACTACTTGAAACTTATCGAGATTAAGCAATTGGCAACCTTTACTATTTGCCTGTTCCGAATGACGTGATATTTGCTTGTTGTCACTAGCAACGACCACAAACGCCTACATCAGTGCTTGTACGCTCTTCTTGGAATCTAGAAATCATTTTTATTTTTTTGTTCAGGTTAATATGATATTTTTTATAAGTAAACACTTCGTACGGAAAGCTTTTAGCATCAGAAATGTGAATACCAATCGTATGACTAGATATGACGATTGTTGACAAGGATTGAAGTGTCTATCTGTCTGCCTGTCTGTCTCTCAAAATGTGGTCATATCAACCAGACTTTATATTGATTTCAAGCTAAACTAAAGGAAAAAAGGCGGGCATTTTGACAACAAAATGGCGGTATTAAAGCATAGGTGTACTTAATTTCCCATCAATGAGTTCAATAACACTGAGTTTTATAGCATTGAATGTTAACCGCTCTAGTGAATAAAAAAAAAGAATGAAGAGGGGGGGCACAACCAGGCTACATTTTCCTAGACAAACTCATTGCTGTTACGGCTGCTGTGCATGTGATGTACCAATTACGGTAAAGATGCTACAGACACGTGTGTCATGTGGACATACGACCATATCACGTTGAAACACCGGTTCTCGTACTATCACCGGGTAAGCAACATTGAGCCTGGTCAGTATCTAGATGGGTGACCGCTTGTGCATACTAGGTGCTGTAAGCTGAGTGGTGTAATGGATAACGACTCGGAATTGGAAATCGGAGAGCCGAGTTCCAATTTCAGTCGGGGTCTTTTTATTCACCTACGCGCAAATTCTCTTGCGAAAGCTACGAATCCACTTCTTCTCCATCCCAGCAATGAATACATCTCTTCCCGCCAGACAACAATCCACCGCTTACATGTGCTATCCATTTTAGTGGTTGCCGCTGTTGATAGTCCTCAAATGATGTGGTTTCTGTTATTGAGTACAGTTCTTTGTTTCTAATTCTGTAGCGCCAGTCGACATTGTTCGAAGAAGGATGTTTTTTGCCAAGACCCCCAGGCTTCACTCGCTCAAAGCCTTTTTTGCCATTAATCTTGGAAAGCGGTTGTATACAGCTGATAATTTAGATATTTCTGAACCGGCTTGGCACCATGCATGACGTCCATTTTAATGTCTCAATCTGACGAGGCTATTCAAGAAATCGAATTTTCAGGTTGATGCTTTGGTTTCGTAGCGGTGTTGGGTGAGACTATCCCCGGCGCACCCTGTTCTATGTCCAATTTCCTTTTTCCTATACTTAATTTTTAATAGCTGATCCATATGCTAACGTATCTGAAGTGTTTAGTATTTACTAATTCAACATCTTAAATTTTTATGATGGATTCAGTGTAGATGATGTCATTGCTTTCATTCCAATTCCAGATCACAGACTCTGTTTTGGAAAGGTTTATCTTGAGTCTCATTTTTGAAACAATCGATAGAGGATCTTGGTTTTCTGTTCAAGATCATTCTTATCCTAACTATGAATACTTATGTCATCATCGGTACATTGGGCTTGGTGGGGGTGGGAATCAGAATAATGTATTGATAAATTTATTTGGGGATGTGGCATGGAATGCTTAAATGACCAGTGCCAATCTCAACATATCTGTGTTTGTAAATGTCATAGTCTACGAATAGATTAAATAGACTGGGGATCTTACCTCTTCCTTGTTTAAGGTTTGAAATGTCTCCGTATTATGGTCCGAGCCAAACATATAAGATTCTGTAGATCGATACAGTTCTTCTATCAGATCAATGCATTCGGTTTCTAATCGATGAGAAGAGGAATTCTTTATTGATGTGGTCATATGCTACGGACGACAAAGTAGGTATAAACTTTCCTATTGGAGAGATAAAGAAAAAATTGTTTGGTGATATCATCACATCCCTTACCAGAACGAAAACCACACTAGATTGTGTGGAGTTGACTTTCATAAAATGATGAAAGCCTAATTAATATAATGTTTATTAATACTTTCACCATGATGGATCCAATTAAGATACCTCTGTATGTGTGAAGGTCTTGAGGACTGCCTTTCTGTTTCCATAATGCATTAATACATGATAAACTTCAATTTTGGAAATGGATCTCTGATTACAGACTTTTTGTCATAAAACAGAGAAATATGTTATTGAATTCGGAAGGAAAGTAAGCCATTTTCAAAAATTCATCCTCAAAATTCGAGTGATGCTTTATTACTTTTTAGTTTTCCAATAGCTTTCTTAATTTCCTCATCAGTAACTTTGCGGGTATCTTGTTTAGTGTGGTCAGGGTTGAAGTGTGATTCAAACTGTTTTTTGAGACCAGGACATTTCTTCTGTCGTGGTTTTGATTGTATCATTTTATTGTGATTTTCCGGTTTCCGCCACGTTTTAAAACATTCTCTATGCAGTTTTCCGGATTTTCCGGGGATCTTGGTTTCTCAAAGTATTAAATAGTTGTTTTTTTTTTCATTTTCTTTCTTAATTGCTTGGTATTTTTCCTCAGATTTTCTTTTCCTCTTCTGTTTCGTTCTTTCTTGTATCAATTTTCTTAACTCAAGTTTGTCGTCCAATGTGTGTATATTTTTCCTTCTAGGTATTCTTGGAATGGTCTCATGTGATTCATCTAATGAAGATAACATTAATTGATTCCTCTATGTGCTGATCAAGGTTTAATGACATCTGTTTGAACTCTACTTTATTACCGAATATTAAATGTACCCTTTCATTTTTTTAAAGGCTTGGATGTTATGCCTCGGCGTTTCTTGTCAGCAGAAGCGCAATGTTTTGTTGGCTGATATTGTCAGTTTGAGGTGTTATCAGTCAACAATATGGCATATAAAACCACGTAAAATCACAGTGTATACAAATAAACAAATTAAAAGTGAAAAAAAAATTAAAAAAATATCTTGCTACAGCAGATGAATTTAAGAATAATCTGATTAAAATGGCCCCAGAAATATAATTTCCAGTATGTTTCATGTGTGACATGCCAGGAAATTGACAGGTTGGAACTGGTAATTTTTTTCTTCTTTTTGGGATAGGAGGGAAATTGGGTCCCTAATCTACATGAAGAGACCTGGAACTTATTTTTCTCGGCAAAATTAGTAGAATAAATATTAGAAAGTGAAAATTTTAATCAGTTACCCAATGAGGCCCGGAGTCACTAATCTGGGATACTAGATTACTACTTCGAATGGCATCAATGATTGACAGATTAGAACTGGTCATTTTTTCCTTCTTTTTGGGATCGGAGGTGAATTGGGTCCCTAACCTAGACGAAGAGACCTGGAACATTTTGTTTATTTTTTTGTGGGGGGGCAAAATTAATAGAATAAATATTAGAAAGTGAAAATTTTAATGAGTTACCCAATGAGGCCTGGAGTCACTAATCTGGGATACTAGATCACTAATTCGGACGCTGGTTGTGCTAGTTCGAAGTCAAATGTCATCCTGACCGATGGTTTGAACTTACTGACTTATGTTCAAAAACTGTTTATTCAACCAAATTATGTACTCTCTTTTAGAAACTAACTAAATTTACAGCCTATTTGCAGTACAGTCCATAAGTGTGCTATATGAGCGTTAAACAAACACAAATATGCATGAGCAGGCGTTTTCAAAAGGATTGAAGAAAAATGCGTTCAGAATATGAATGACCGACCATTACGTGTAAATATTGATTGTTTATACATGAGTCTATCTACTAGTACTCGTCGTTTATAAGCATTTACTTGGTTCAGAAAACTTTCCTAACCAATCGTGTAACAAAGGTCGTATTGAACGGGCATGCTTCCAGATCATTTCATACTAACACAGGTGTGTCCCCTAGGGTTCTATCCTTAAAACCTACGGTGTTTCCGATCTTCATGAATGACCGCCATGATTTTATCAGTTTTCAGCTAGGTATATATATATATATATATATATATATATATATATATATATATATATATAGATGACACGACCATTTACTCCAGTCCTAGTAGCAAATCTAACAGATCCGAAAAAATAAACCTGGCAGCTTCTTTTGAAAAGGACCTCCAATTAGTAGTTAACTCGGGCAAGAAATGGCTTGTAAATTTCAACGCCTCCAAAATAAAAATGCTTTGAGTTAATCACCTTAGAGAAGTTTTCTGTCTACCATCAGGATGACTGATGCTGAAATGAAGGAAAGCATTGTTCTAAACCTTCTGGGCTTCACGTTTTCCATTGACATAAAGTAGAGCGACTATATTGAGTCAATTGCTACATCTGCTGCAAGGAAGGTGGTCCACAGTTTAGAGGCAAATTCTCATCAGAATCCACCTTGCACATTTATAAATCTACTATTCGCCCGTGTATTGAATACATGTCTGGTCTGGTCTGGTCTGGTCTGGTCTGGTGCTTCTGTCTTGAGATTCTTGGAAAAATCTAGAGAAGGGTCTGCAATACAATCGATCCTAACAAGGCATATCTTTTCCAGTCACTTTCTTATCGTAGTCATGGCACCAGGAAGAAAGAAATATCGTCTGTTCTACAAATACTTTCATGGTAACTGCTCATACGAGCTTTTTTTTTCCTGCTGCCCAGACTACACGAATTTAAGCGTGCGACTAGAGTGGCAACTAGGTCTCACCATTTTACTGTTGAACTAGTTAGATGCAACTGTTATTTCTCCTCTAACAGATTTCTTTTGCGCAACTCCCTTTCGATTTTTTGCTTCCCTGTCAACTACAATCTTCAAAAATTTAAATGCAACGTCAGTCACCATCTTCTGTCTTCTTGAACCCTGTTTCTTTTTTTATCCTTTCCTCAACTCTCCCCATTTTTAATCTTCTCTTTCTCATCCAGTTTCACTCCCTCTGCGTTCTAGTGGCATTGTTAAATGATTAAGATAATTAATATTGGTTGTTTATAGTTGATACTATGAGCATTTACTTCGAGAATAGGTAATTACCAGTCGTTTATATTTGAGTTTGTACGTATTCACTAGGTACAGCAAAAGTTAAATAAATTGGTTGATTATATCGGAGTCTATAAAAATTGATCGATTATATTTGAGTAGGTTCTGAACTGTACTGAAGATGTGAAATATATGACAATTAACGATTAAGAATATTGTGGCTCAAATCATTACAAAGGTACTTAACAGTGTCAAAGACCGTTAATGTTTTCGCTGCTTTACCTATTACGTATCAAACGATGTTATGAAACGTCCCCTTCATTGAAATTCGCTCTTTGCCTTCATGTTGTCCTCCACATAAACCTGTGAGTAATACCAGTTTTTAGCGATGCCATTTTGTCTTTGGCGAAATCACTACAGATATTAATAGAAAAACAAATCTCACCCCTTCCCCTCCCGAGAGAGAAAGAGAGAGAGAGAGAGATTGAGAGAGTGTTTGGGACGTGCTGACTCTTCCGGAATCATCCTTGATTAAGTTTAACATTAGGTAAAATATGCGGTAGTCAATGATGATCAAATACATTTCACAGCAGTAATAGCGAAGCATACTAACTCGTTAAACATTACACCATACCGAGACGCATATATCTATTTCAGAGTAATTACTGTTAACTAAGACGTTACCAGATTCGCCCGAAGCTCATATTTTTCCTTTTAAAACTCCATTGGGACAGTAATTGCTGCAAGGAAGACAACATACAATGAAAAACACACGATAACACGCACCCAAACAAACGCACAGATACGTCTGATATATTTTCAATATTTT